ATTATTACTTCACATTTAGAGATTTTTTTTGGTTTTTGAAGATCTTTCAGTATATCATTTTGTTCAAGGTAATGTCCCTGTAATGCGTGGATATAGTTAAATGTTACATGAAGTAATGGTTCAATGTACAGCTAATTAATATGTCTCTACCAACAATTTCCTGAGAAGTCAGGGCTTTGTCAGACGGGCCAGGAGTAGACTGCCGTGTCTCTGACTGCAGAAGTAGATCCAACATGTCTCTCGGTTCGGAAGCTTTCTGTTCCCGCTTTTTCCTCAATGCGTCCCTGGCGAGCCGGGTGAAGTAGGCGTCTGCTTTTGGGTTGATGACGTCAGAGCTCGGGAACAGGTCAAGGCCGATCTTGGCGAGCGCGGGAAAGTACAGAGCAACGAGTCTCAGCAGGTTTTGTGACGCCGTGCCGATGTTCAGGAAGTTGTTGATGTTGTGGAAGAATTCGTTGTCTACCCCAGACACCGCCTTTGCCCGGAGCCCGAAGCCCAGTTTGGCTATGACGTCACTGGTGTACTTGGCCATGAACTTCTTCAGGGGAACCAGGTCACCACGACGTCTGGTCCCCTCCACGAGAGCCACGAGACAGGCGGCGCTGTCGTTGACGTCACGCATCATGACGCGGAGCTTCCTTCCGGTGAAGATGGGAGACATCACGTGGTGCGCTCTCCGCCAATCACAGCCTCCGGAGAAGAAGAGGCTGGAGAGGGACGTGCTGTTGGTGAAGGTGATGGGGCTACGGTTGAGGAAGTTGGGGAAATCCTCTGCTAGAATCCGCGTGAGTAGCCGTGTGTCTGACGTCACGAGTGTGGGCCGGCGGTTGATGAGTGAATGAAGCCCGTACGTGCGTCCATAGACAGACTCCCACTTCTCTAACGCCTGCTCCAGACCACCGCTCATCATCTCAGGCACGTGGAGGAGAAATGGCCAGGGACGAGGTCCCGGTACACCCACAGCCACCCACACATTGGTCCAACCATTGCAGTAAAGGTAGAAGCCAACCAAGAGAAGGCACAGAAAAAGCAGAAACCCTGACAGTCCAACGGCAGGCAGTGTGAGGAGCATTGGCTGAAAGCAAAAACAGTGGAATGTCGAACAAAATAGCTATAACATTCTGAAACGTAAGATTTTTTTTAAAAGCTACAACGATAATTGAAATAGAATAAATCTCAGTGAAACATGTCGCTCTAAAATGTATCTGGAAAACATTATTATTGTGAACTAGCAATTAGATACAGATGCATTAGTTTGTGTGCTGAAAGTCTTTTTGTTCATGTTGACATTATAAACGTTTTAACACTGTTTTCATCATTGGTCCATGTGTAAAATAACAGAATCTTTCACACTGTAGCCTTAGAAGAGACACGGAACCGTGAAGAACAATCCAGCAACAACAAACAAATTAAAACAAAACAGCAACCAAAAGAAAACCACCCCCCCAGCCTGGAAAAAGAGGAGTCAGGATTTGCTTACAGTATCATTTATGCTTTTAGATATTCCTTCCTTACGATGCTTACAAAGAAAAGAGCACGGATGGAAACAGCGATGGTCTCAAATTAATTTAGGTTTGGTGCTCAAAATGCGATAACGTATAAAGTCCGTGACGGGGGGAAATAGAATTATTTCACGCTAGAAAAATATGATAAGCAATACATGTACTATAAACATTGAAAAAAAAAAGACAATTAATGGGAGAAAAGTGAAATCGTACCGAAATGGTGTCAGTCATCACAGCTTGCTTTGTACTCTGCAAAAACCTGCCAGGGCCACAATCTGCAGCCTGTAGTAGATCTAATGAAGTCTGCCAGGGTCCCTGTGTCACGTGATCACAACCCGTTCGTAGGAAAACTAGAAGCTCACTGTCAGGTAATCTGTTTATAAAGCTTCACAATCATGATCCAGTCACTTGTGGGAGCTCGAGACTTGGCGTGTCACGCGCCGTCTAAAAGCAAGAACCAGTCAACAGGTTTGGGTTTTAATATTAAGTGATTATGATTGAAATACTGCTTTACTGGCTTTGGTAAAATTGACACAAAACAAAACAAAAACTTTGTGTTTTGTGACAATTTCTCTCTTTGCGTGGATTGATAAGCTGTATGTCATCTTAGGACCAACCAAAAGACCGAAGGATTGGAAAACTGCCACATTTTTTGTAGTGTTGTTTTGAGTTGTTTTTATTTATTTTTAAAATTCATTCTTTTTTTTTGGAAAGGGGGG